GTCGTTTCTTACTTTTCTTTTTTCGTTTCTGGGAATAAATCTATCAAATATAGAAAGCGCTTGAAGCGCTTAAAGCGATGAACAATTTGACAGCATCCCCAAAAAAGATGGAATATTCTCTAGTATAGACCTATAAAGTAACATTTAATTAAAAATAAAACACATTTTCACGGTAGACATTTTTCTTATACATCGGCGATAGTTTCCAGGCATCCAGGTGATATATTCGCTATCATAAGAAAAACAGGAGCAGATAAATTCAGTGCAGTCATCTGATTGTAACTTTGAAGAAGAAATAGCAAACCGATTGTAATACCGGATACCTTTGAACATCATACGAAAAGAAAAAGAAATTATTACCGCTGTCAAAAAAGAAAAGCTTGATAATAATGAAGGGATCTTTAAAAGTGTCCAGTCGCCTTTTTCTTAAATTATACATGATTGTGAGGAATCTTTGATGCTGATCGCGAATCTGATATCCGTTTGGGGCTGTCAGACCTTTCTGGAGTGGGTCTCAGAAGTTCGGGTGTTCAAAGACCTGCTATGAACATTCAGTTAAACATATTCTGGCACTACCAGATTGTAGAGCACGTTGAATTATCTATGGGGGAAAATGTTCAGAACCAACGAAGAAGTTTTCGTAGAGATAAAAAAATTTTACTTTCTAATCCAGTCAGTCCGTTGTCACTTGCCCGTTCGAGTAAGGTCTGATCATAACAGAGGCATATAGCAAACAGCTCAATTTTGCGCAGTTTATTTTGCCCAATTTGGCAGTATAGCTCGTTCGGGCCAGAGAACAGTGTGAGAGTGAGTTCGAAAAGTAGTTTCACATAAAAGATATTTGCTTCAGATAGTGTCATTTCTACAAAAGCTATTTTCGGATGTCTTCCTATATTTCGTAATTTACCAAATATATTAATATTCGTATGACTTTTGGGCAGCTTTAACTGCTTCATCCATACTATAATGAAAAAATCTGTACATATCTTTAACAATGACTGGATTATTATCTTCCGTAAATGCATATTGGTGCCCAACAGCTATCGGTTGTTGTAAGCTCTTGTCAGTTTTCGGCTCTATTTGCAAATATGGAATATCAGTTGTTCTCGTAAATCGATGTTTTTCTTTGAAAGTCTCATCTACATTCGTGATATCAGTTAACTTATTAGTTGCAACAACGACAGTCTTAATTCGAGCACGATCATTTGGTATGAGAACCGCAGATATAGTACTTAATTGAGTGCCAAATCCTAATCTGACTAAAATACGTCTTACTTCCGGTGAGTGAACATTGACAAAATGCCAGTAGATGTAACGATTAGCCCATCTGTCCACAATCTGCCTTACATCTGTTATGCATTGGATACCTGTCGAATCAATATTAGCTACCGCAGCGAAATCAATCACGATTGCTTTCAGCAACGGTTTTGGGGCAGTAATAGACTCTGCTTTTGTATTGTCGTTCCATTGACGAGAGCCCTTGGTTTTCGAAACGGGTTTTCCTCTGCGAGTGTTTTCCTTGACATGGTCAATCATTTTATCTGATATGTAACTGGCATTTGGATATGTCAACGATTCATTTAATCGAAATATAGCGACACCATCTGGACTCGATTCTATGTACTCAACTAAAGTGGGATAATCAACTGGAAAATAGAGACTACGGCTGTTTTTAATGCGTCCGAGGACATTAAATCGAGGACGAGCAATACGAAGTAGAAGTACAAATAACGACACTCCAATGGCTGTATAAATTCCGTACTCAACAGTTGTGAAGAAAGTAATAATAACTGCTGAAACAAAAATGAATAATTCTAATGGGTGCACATCCCATAGTTCTTTCCAGACTTTTGGACCTGTTGCCAAATCAGCCACAGCATGTATAATAACTGCAGCCAATACAGCATCCGGTATAAAATAAAATGCAGGTGTCAAAGCATATAAGGCTAAAACAACGACGCATGCGCTAAATACACCAGCGATGGGTGTACGAACACCCGATTTTGATTTAATGGCAGTACGTGAAAATGAACCAGTAGTCGGATAGGCGGAGAAAAAACATCCAATGATATTCGAGACACCAATAGCAACGATTTCTTGATTTGGATCAACTGAAAAACAATGAGATGTTAAACTCAGTAAAAGCCGACGTGAGAAGTTATGGTTTCGATCTCAGTAAAACTTTTCAAAGCTACCCTCATGATGGGAAATTTTTTGTAAGTGTGTAGGTTGCATCCATCGGCGTTAACAAGATGACCCTGCTGTATATTTACGAAAATTAAGTATTCCACATATATAGCACATAGGGATGCCGTTTCCTAATGGCCCGTATCTCACCAAAGTCAGCAGAAACTACCTACAAGTGAAAAGCTCCTTGCCTATTTTACTGGTCACGACCTGATCAGATGAAAGAAATCCAGACCAGAACTTGTTTTTCTCTTAATCAGTGAAATAAATCAAAGACAAGAACCTGTTTTCCTCCTGATCAGTGAAAGAAATTCAGACTGAAACCTGTTTTCCTCTTGATCAGTGAAAGAAATCCAGACTGGAACCTGTTTTCTATTAATCAGTGAAATAAATGAAGGCCAAAACTTGTTTATCTCGTGATCAGTGAAACAAATCAGGACCAGAACCTGTTTTTCACCTGATAGAAGTCAAGACCGCGACCTTGTTGTATATATGCGAAACTTAAAGTATTGTATATATATATAACTATAAGGGGTGCCGCTCCCGAATGTCCCGTACCGCACCAAAGTTAGTAGAAACTACCTATAAGCAAAAAGACAGTTGCCGTTTTTGCTGATCACGACTGGTTTTTTCGTGATTAGTGATAGAAATCAAGACCAAAACCTGTCTTTCTCCTGTTTAGTGGTAGAAGTCAAAACCGCGACCTTGTTTTATATATACGGCAATTAACTATGGTATATATGTAACAATTCGATGCTGCTCGCTAAAGTCCCAAAGAGCGCAAAATTCAATAGAAACTACATACAAGTAAAAAAGTCCTTGTCTGTTTTGCTGGTCAGGACCTGTTTTTCTCCTGATCAGTGAAAGGAATCAAGACTGAAAGCTGTTTTTCTCTTAATCAGTGAGCAAAATCAAGATCAGTACTAGTCTGTCTCGTGATCACTGAAAGAGGTCAAGATAAGAACGTGTTTTCCTCCTGATCAGTGAACGAAATCAAGACTAGAACCTGTTTCTCCTGATGAGTGAAAGAAATCAGGACCAGAACCTGTTTTTCACCTGATGAGTGATAAAAATCAAGGCCGCGATCTTGTTGTATATGTACGAAAACTAAATTTTCCTACACACTTACAGCTTTCGACAGAACTCGTGATCTAACAGACCAGTGTTATTATTGTCCACTTACTTTTATAGTCATTGATTCTTCCAAATGATTTGGCAATAGCTACGTGTTCTAAGATCAAAATAATTGTAGACGGCACAATGTACGGACTTATTGCTGATAAAATATCCGGCGTAACAATGGGAGCATGCATTGATCTGAATCCTGACGGGACTTTGTTTAGTATACTGATCGGGCTGGTTGTCTTGTGTAAATTAACTAAACAAGCAATTAAAGTGCCAACAATGACCAAGATCGCATTTCGAGCAATTCCAAAAAAGAACAATAGTCGCTCCCGCTTTGGATAACGTTGAATCAAATACTGGACCGAATATTTGACGCTGTACAACCATATGAGACCAACAGCGCCAAACACCAGATCTAAATGAGTGTGTGGAAGTCCTTTAAGAGTGTATCCTAATATTAAATACGCTGATAAACTGGATTTGATACCAGGTATCCCGAATAATTTTGGCAATTGACCGATGATGATTGTTATACATGAACCAGTCATAAAACCTGCAATAGCTGGGTTGGAAATGAAATCCACTAACAGACCAAGCCGAAGTAGACCAATGGCTATAGTAACTAGACCGCTAAACAGTGTTAGACAAGAAGCAATTTGAGGAGCGGAATATTCATGAGTACCAATTGATAATATAGCTTGACCGATCAAAAGAGACATTACTGCAGTGGGACCTAAGTAGAAATAAGTCTGTAAATCTATGGGAACAATACAAATTTTGATCATACTCACCAATAGAAATATCTTTTGACGTCGCAAAGAAACAGTAAATACACAATCCGACAAACGATGAGTAGAGACCGTATTCTGGTGGTAACTGAGCAATCTTAGCATAAGCCATGCCTTGTGGAACTATAATTACACCCACAGTCAAACCCGCAATGAGATCACCTGTGAACCATGTTAAATTATAACGTGGTAACCAGCCAACAATCGGAAAGAGACCTTGCACATAGGATTTAACATAATGTGGAAACCTTTTGACTGTGCGGTCTAATTGTTCTTTGTATGTTGGAGGCTCATGATTCACGCATATTGTAGACATTAATTAATCAATAACAAGTTACAATAGTAGTAAAATGTGAATTACGTAGTTTTCTTTCAAAACGCCTAGATAAAAGAACAGAGTATTTAAACTGTGGGCATGAAAGAATTTATTTTTCGACAGGTTTTTCATGACTTTTTTATCTTATCAATATCCCATATCCTTAACTATTAGTGTATATCATTCAGTCATCGAGGAAATCTGGTAAATACAGCTTTGGGAACTTTATTTTTTGAGGTTTACTAGGTAGCACAGACGTGAAACATCAGCTCGCATAAACATTTAATACTAACCATCTTATTATTAATTATATTTGATAATTATGTAAACTTCATGAAATTAGCTGGCGTTGACAGTGACAGTCATTGACATCTTAAATAATAAACATTATGCTAAATGTTATCGATTTTATATTTTTGTCCAAACTACAGAGTTGGCTTCTATTTACCAGTAGGTGTATATAAAACCGGTTTAGTACGATCACATACAAAGATAATGTCTTCCCTTCAGGTAAAAAGGTAACAGAAATAAAGGACATCACTATGAGAATAGGACTATAAATTAGCCAGTTTCGAAGGTTTATTTCTCTCCATCATAAATTGAAGTGCTGGTTAACGTGCTGGTTACTAAGTGAGCGAGAGAACAAAAAGCATGTTTTTATTTATTTTTCTGTAGTACGGTTTCTCGCTCCTACGCCGCGAGTCATTTTTAACTTGATTTAACAATGTTTAAGATGTCAACTCGTTCACACATACACTTCTAAGATTGGATGATTGGTCCTCGAATTTTCATCCTGTTTACTTTGTCAGATCATAATGAACCACCATCTATAATATAAATCATATATATATATATATATACACCGAAAAAGACACTTAGTGTGATATTTCAGACAAACTGCGATAAATACTAGCAATATAAGATAGACTACTTGTATTACGATAAAAAGAATTCAGGTGACAAGATTGTGTCTTTCATGTAGTAATTAAGTACATGTTACTGTTGTAGAAATCCGAATATGATGTTATGACATGTTAAATATTCGGAATAACTCACAAAGAAAGCTTTATAAAAAAAACAAATATTAAGAAGAGCGAAAAATACTTTCTTTCTCAGTATCGTACCCCAACCAGCAGTACAACTATATTACCTAAGAGCATAAAATTTGTGTGAATGTAGGCCTTGTCATATGCTGATTATATGACAAGCGTTAAATAATTGTGGCCTATGGTTATCGGGCTATCTCAGTCTTATTTTTTTTCACTTAAATGTAAATACCGCAGTTAAAGTCTTTACTGATTAATATGTTTCAGTTAATTTATGAGGAGCAGGTGTTTTTGTTTTTCTCGATAAAAAAGTAGTCATAACTCGCCCGTAAAACATCTTTTTGACTTGAAACTTTTTGGAAAACAGCCACTTGAAACATTTCGAATAGAGCAAACTTGTCGGGTCAATACCCATCCTCTCCACCATAACATGAATCTTTTCATGGATATCACATCCATGCAAAATATACTTATAGATCCTCGTAATTCTGAAAATGCAGAGCAAGTGTTGAAGGCGATTTATGTTGTATAGTGCCTTTTGACCACTTTCAAGTACAATTAATACCAAATTCACATCAATAAGACTACGCAGGTTAGCTAATTATCACTTGTTATTGAACATTTTTAGCTATTAATATCTCTAAATTTTTCGAAGGTTCATGAGCAAGGTTTAGTTCGATGTTCCAAAAAATAGTTGAAAAATATTATTTTGTGAAACATTACATTGTTCTCAAAAATTAGAATGACTTTTTATAACAAATCCAAGTTTTACAACAAAATTTGCTTTGGAAGATTAATTTTTTATCACCGTTGATATTACACCTTTTCATTCAACCATTCCATGAGATGATGAGATAATTGAAGTTTTCTCCTGAGACATCCAATTATTATCAATCAACATTGGTTAAGTTATTAGATTGTCAGATAAATGAGCAATAAAAAACAATTTTTGATTCAAGCAGAAATAATAATACCATTATGCATACTGCATGAGAACTAACAGAGATACATTCATTATTCATACCAAATAAAAGACAAAAAATCTACTATTAAACGGCTCACTTTTCGAGGTTGATATTCATTTGATAAACTATAAAACATGTAGATAAAATTTAATATTTCAAACCGAATATAGTTGAAAAGTTATTTTCCTTTATCAGTGTACTTTTTCTATTAACTGGCCTCAGTCGAGCTAAAGAATCGAATCATATGTGTTCAGTAACTAAAAAGATGCAAAAAGATCTACTCAAAAGTCTGAATGTTTCGTCGTATGGAGATATTGACACCTCTTGCTGGCAGAGTATCCGATCAGAAGCTATGCGTATAGAAACTGCGTCTCCGGAAAACCTCAAACTCCAAAACAAAGTTTTTCAATTTATTCAGAATTCTTAGGCTAACAGTTCAGTCGTACGGTACAAACATTCTGAACAACATGATACATCTCCATGACATTATTTCATTACATTTTATTCCAGGCCGTAGAAATCAACAAAAAAATAACAAAAAATTATTTAAATTTGAATAAAGTGTAATGAAATAATGTCATAGACGTGTATCATGTTGTCCAGAAATGTTTACATCGTACGACTGAACTGTTAGCCTAAGAATTCTGAATACATTCAAAAGCTTTGTTTTGCAGGTTGGGATTTTTCAGAGATGCACTGTCGAGGGAACTGCTATACACATCACTTCTGATCGGACACTCTTTCAGCTATTCAAGTCTTTCTTCGAAATTGTTCTAGCTGTTTCACTTAATATCACTGAATGAAGAATTTACAACAATATTTTCAGAATATCGCTAACCCTTTTATATTTGTTCGTTAAATTTATGTCATTTTCCCACACGTTTATGCTACCCATCAATATTTGAACACATTGTATTTATGTTTAATTGAACAATCATAACATATTTTCTCAGTAATACACCAAATATTCACAATACCATTTTCAGCTAACTATGCAATTTCAAATTTATGTTATCTAATTAAATGTTCACTGTCTTGATTCCATTAGTGCTTCTCTGTTTAGAAGTTTAAAAATAACAGTTTATTATGGTATGTTATCAGAGTTCTACTTGTGTTAAGTATAACGCTCAGAAATTGTTTAAACCTGTTATTATTCAAACACTTGTCATTGTTGTTATGTTATTGTCCTTTTCAAATCGAGAGTCAAGTGAGACCTTGATTTTCCACGCTTCGGGCGTTGTATCGAATTTTCTACGAATCCCAGGACTGGCACCCAGTAACGACTGGTAGGCTTCAAGACGGATGAACTATGCGTAATCGACCACGCTGCGTCTCGTGGCAATATTTGTTTTTAGAAAAGTTTTAAAATTCTACCGAAAAGCGAGTTTTACGAAAATTTGTGTTTTCAG